TGGTGGACGACAAGTTGACCATGAGGCAGCAGTGTGACCTCGTGGCCAAGAGGGCCAATGGGATCCTGTGGTACATTAAGAAGAGCATCTCCAGCAGGTCGAGGGAGGTGCTCCTGCCCCTCTACTCAGCCCTGGTGAGGCCGCATCTGGAGTATTGTGTCCAGTTCTGGGCTCCACAGTACAAGAGGGATGTGGAGCTGCTGGAGAGAGTCCAGCGCAGGGCTACAAGGATGATCAGGGGCCTGGAACATCTGCCCTATGAGGAGAGGCTGAAGACTGAAAGACTGTTCAGCCTGGAGAAGAGAAGGCTGAGAGGGCGCTGAGGGCTAATCAGTGCCTATAAGTACCTCAAGGGAGGGAGTGAGGAGGATGGTGCTGGCCTCTTTTCAGTGGTGGTCACTGATAGAACTAGGGGAAACGGCCAGAAAATAAAGCATCAAAAGTTCCATGGGAGGTTAAGGAAAAAAATTCTTAACAGTGAGGGTGACAGAGCACTGGAACAGGCTGCCCAGAGAGGTTGTGGAGTCTCCTTCTCTGGAGATCTTCAAAACCCGCTTGGATGCAGTCCTGTGCCACGTGCTCTAGGTGACCCTGCGTATGCAGGGGGGTTGGACTAGGTGACCTCTAGAGGTCCCTTCCAACCTTAAGCATTCTGTGATTTTATGATCTGTTATTATATGGAGGGAGACTTCTCCTGGAACAGGTTAGACTCAAGATCTGTTTGTTAAATCTGTCATCACTGATCAGGCAAAATTGTGAGAGTGTAAAAAACAGGCTCTTTTCTCTTCCTGCTCTTCCATCTTTCCTTGAAATTCCTCTTCTCATAGGAGACAGGATAGCAGACTGGCTGTAGTTTTGATCCAGTCAAGTTGAGCAGTCCTATAATGTTCATACCAAAACAATACCTTTTGAGCGTTTTTATGTTCCCCAAATTCATTGGGCTGCAGCTGGTTGTGAATCTCTTTGTATGTTAACTCCTTGTTTTATACTGCTGCATATATATAGAAGTATGT